TGCTCCTCCACATCGAGAGGAGCCAGCGGAGGTGTCTCGGGCATCTCTTTCGGATGCCTCCTGGGCGCCTTCCTAGGAGACCCAGGACACGCTGGAGGGACTATGTCTCTCCGCTGGCCTGGGAACGCCTTGGCATTCCCCCGGAGGAGCTGGAGGAAGTGTCTGGAGAGAGGGAAGTCTGGGCATCTTTGCTTAGACTGCTGCCCCCGTGACCCGGCCCCGGATAAGTGGAAGAAAATGGATGGATGGATGGATGGATCTTTCAGATATAAGGATAAGGATAATCACCTTTATTGGCCAAGTATGTTACACACAAGAAATTTGTTTCCGGTACAGAACCGGAACATTGTCCATACATTGTCCCCCAAAAACATTCACCTCAGACTGCAACTTGTAATCAGTCATCTTCCTTGGTATATCCTCCCTAGAATCCATTAGAAAATAGCACACATACAAAACTAACCAACAATACCAACAGTAAAGGGAAAGGCTGTGCCATGGACGTGAACAGACCAAAAGCAGCATTGGCAATTCAAAATTCAACAGCACAGTGAAGCACTGTCTTGTTACAATACACATACATGTAGCTGTATAAGCATAACACATATCATTGCAAATACATCAACAATTACATTTCAGCTTACAAAATATGCACATTTTTGAACACCACCTAATGTAAACATACACAAATCTGTGCTGCTACATCACTTTAAGCTGAAAAAACTTAGAAAAAAATCAACTGGACTAGGTTTTTAGGTCAAAGACGTTTCACCTCTCATCCAAGAGGCTTTATCAGTTCTGCCTGACTGGTGTTGAGCCGGAGATATTTATCCCCCTCGGTGGTGTTTCAGTCCTTTGATGCCCAACAATGTCCCCTAACGATTGAGTCATTATAGCCCAGTATTGGTGAGTGTCGTTACCTGTCTTTGAACCCTCACCTGTGGACCGACGCCTATTGTCCTGGTGGGCATGTTTGGGCAGAGATCTCAAAACAGAGTTGTAGATGGATGACAAGTTGTGTCTTAGTCCGCCACCCCTATTTAGTGAGGGGTGTTCTATTTTTACAAAAATAGCTTCCTTAACTTCTCTCTCAAACCAGCGATGTTCTCTGGAGAGGATCTGGACTTCACTGTCCTCAAAAGAATGTTCTTTGTCCTTCAGGTGGAGGTGGACTGCTGACTCTGGTTCACTGGTGTTGACCCTCCTGTGTTGGGCCATGTGTTTGTGCAGCGGCTGCTTAGTTTCACCAATGTACAAGTCGTTACACTCCTGACTACATTTAATAACATACACCACATCACTCTGTTTATGTCTGGGTGTTTTGTCCTTCTTTTTTTTCCCGCTTGTTTTCCAACTATCCCTTCCTGACCTGCTGCTGATTACTTGGCTCAGGTGTGTTCAGCCAGTCAGAAGCTAGAAGATACATCTTAGATGAAAGTGGAGTGAGGAAAGATAAAGTGAATTGGTATCTTCCAGCAGCTCCTGCTCCAATGCCACCTGCTGGGCTTCATGTGCCACTGCAATCCTGACAGCAAGGTCAAGTATTCCAGAATGAGGGTGTAACTTTGTATTGTATGTATTTTGAAGGGACTGTACCATACATACCATACCATACCAACTTTATTTATAAAGCACTAAAAACCAACCAAAGTGGACCAAATTGCTGTACATTGCAATAAAACAGTATATATTATAAACCCAAAAACAACAATATAAAATATAATCAATATAATAAATGACTAAATCAACACAAAAATAAAATATCAAAATGCAAGGGAAAATAAATGAGTTTTTAATAGAGACTTAAAAACAGACAGGGTAGAGGCTTGTCTAATGGACAGCGGTAAGTCATTTCAGAATTTGGGACCAGCAACTACGAAGGCTCAATCACCTCTAAGCTTACGCTTTGTTCTTGGGACTGAAAGCTATTTGTTCCCAGTTACGCTTAACCAGTGAAACTCAGAGAGACGAGGCGGTCCAAGTTGATACAAAAAAACGTGCTGGTTTATTCAAAGGATCACAGGTAAAATTAACATTACACGTCCAGGTATCTTCCACCTCCAATACTGCGCGCAGGCAGATGAAGAATGAAAGACCCCGAACCCAACAGGCCTGTACATTATATCTGGTTTGGGCTAACCCCATTCTACACAGGCACGTCAAACCGTGACGTCACCTGATATGTCAGCTTTACAGCTGACCGTAGCAGTAGTCAAAACATGGAGAAAATCAATGTGTGTGTGTGTGTGTTGATTAAGTGGTGTGTATCTAAGAACATACAGGACATTCAGAAACATGTCTGGACATTAAGCCTATGACGATATTATGATTAAGATTATGGCTAAACATATCATACAATAGCCACTTTCTATCTAGTTATCCTGGAACATAAACAACCTGGAGTAACTCATGGAAATGAGTAAGCATTTAAACAGTCTAACTAGACATCCTGTCTCCACTAAACTTTTCTAATACAACAAGTA